TCTTAAGGTATCACAAAAGGACCGCTTTCCTCAAATCTAGTTTAACTTTAACTGTGAAGATCATGGTTTATACTCTATTTTCATTCAATTTCACTTTCCCCAATACCTTATCATTTTCTGGTTCAAGGTTCAAGTGTTCAAGTTAACCCGGCCGTTTAACTGCCGATGTTTGGGTTAAACAAGGTTAAATTAAACCAAGAAAGAAGAATAACAGCTAATAACTTAGTTTGATTCAGATTGTCTGATTTTTGTTACGTTCAGCAATGGCTAATAATTCTTGTTGGACGTTTGTTTAACATAAGTTAAAATAAATTGAACTGGAAATAGCTTAGGCCTACAGTAGTCAAAAATCAGAACCAATAGATAGCTCAGATTAGGTACCGATTTGTTCGGATTTTCAAACATAGCCAAATAGGCCTAATGCCTAATAAACACATAGGCCTAGGCTACGCTAATTGTGGCTACAGTATTAAAAATACAATTCTAGGATTCAGTGGATGAAATAAAAACAATGATTTAAACTGTATAAACTGTATTACTTAGACTAGTTTCTTGAAAAAATATGTATATTTTATACATTGGAAACGAACAAAACACAGACTGGCTCAGCGAGTTCAATCATTTCCCTGCAAGGCGCCGACTGTTTGGCCCTTGTAAATCATCTGTTGTCTCTGTGCTAATTCAATATTTTAAAACCCTAAGGAGCGGTTCAGATTCTTGACGTTACAGATTTTTGACATTCGGATTTTTGACTCTCTACTGTAGGCCTCATTAAGAAATAGCAAACAAGGACCTAAATCTTACCGGTATGATTCAATGAGTTCAGGACTAAGTAACTTATTGCGAATTTGGTGATGGAATGGAGAGGTGTGACTGGGCTAACTTAGACTGAACGAACACAAACAAGTGAACAAAACAAAATGACTGACACTTATACTCTGGTGTGCACTTTCGGCATCAGCACTGGTGTAGTCAGTGTTGCCACGCCACCTCGTAACTGTAGTTTGAAATTAAACTAGAGAAATAATTAGGCCTCAGTTAACTTACTTCCAATGTGAAATGACAAGTGAAAGTGAAAAATTATTTAATATCAGTAAAATAATAATATATCCCTACACCATTTACAATAATATTGGAGTAAAATATCGATATTTCCAATATAGCCTAGGCTATCAAAGTAAAATAGGTAAGATAGCCTATCAATATTTGCTTAAAAAACCCGTAAGTTTGTAACAGAAGAAAACTATCGATCAAAAATACATTCACAATCAGCTTACAAACGTCAATAGTTACGATATATCGACTAAGTTATCGATGCCCAACACTAGCTCAAAAAACTTAAAATATTCAGACTGTTTGACCAGCACTAGCCTAGGGTAGGTGTAGAATGACAATTAGGATTACCCAAACTAATAATTTTGAGGGTTGCGCCGAATAGGTGCTCTGCGTTTCATGAAAACGACACATAGGAAAAAAACAGGCTGTCCCACATTGTGGTGAGGTTAGGGTTATCATAACCTAACCCAGATAGTACTAGGCCTAGGTCCTACCTAACGCAAACATGCAGTGCCAGTATAATAATAAGGGTAATGAAATTGTGCAGACACCCGACTCATTTATAACATGCAATACAACGGTTAAAATATTTCACACTTTTAAGAAAATAAATACTTTACCTTGACAAGAAGGGCCAAGTAGACATCGTCCGATTTTGGTTCGGTTCTGCGAACCTTCCTGTCATATTTGTGATTGATGTCAATACCCTAAAACAAAATATAATGGGGATTATATAACTGGTTCTTAGCACAATTTATTTAATGTTAATAAGCAGATTGAATGAGATAACTGAAGGAATATTCGGTAATGTAACACACTCACCATTTTGCCTGCTTTCCGGAAGAAGTTCTAAACCGCAGGGCTGCCACCTGAATGAATAGAATGATGAAACATATTTTCTAACAGAGAGTAATGTTTCCAGCTGTACTAAAAATATTTAGGTACTATAACTAATAATTGTTATTTTGTTCTTTTAACACGCAATCATTGAAAATCAAGGGGTCATGTATAGCTCATTTGAAAATAGTCCATTTTATTGTAGGATTGTGGTGTCTCAAGAAAGTATTGAGTTATAATTATGTGACAAGTTGTAAGTCCAATCTGAAAAAAATCATTACACTTAACATGGAAGGAGAATTTTTAAACCAGGGGCCTCTGGTTACATTGTTTCTGTGTTTCTTATAGGTATTGTATATAGTATCGGCATTACAGTCCATTGTAGAATAAATATTATCTTTATTGGCTGTGTTGTTGAAATTCTTTCAGGTCAGCTATTAACACTTTAGTTCTGAATTCACGTCAATTTAATATTTGAGTTAAAATACCTAGGGCCTGATTTACACTTAATGAGACTTGATAATTAATTGTATTTCATTGCCTGTTATTGATTGTTTTTTTTTCTGCATTGTCTGTCATTATTGTCTGTTGTTTTTTCTTGAATATCATACCTACCCAAAGTTTTTTCAAGTTCAGTTTTGGTTGATATTAATTGCATTAGTAATGTAGTGTCGTTGTTGTTGTAAATTATGCCATCTTGAAATTGATTATGCTAACTACTATTGTATAAATGGTGTTACCATGAATAAATAAATAAATGCATATACCGCAGCCAGTAGCTTAATAGAATATTAATACTGTATTATTGGTTGATATGGGTCGCCGGAAGACTGCTCTCCAACTAAACTTGCTATAGTAGAGGTGTATAGTAAATGCTATAACATTTCAAAATTCTGTTTGATATTCCTCACATGGCTTTTCTGTTATCAAACGGAATTACTCGAATTAAAATTACAATTACAAAGCATCACATTTTGCTAGGGGGGTATTACAGTCGTTGAAACGGCTCCCATATTGGTTAGTTGGCAGATTTCGTGACGTCACGTTTCACCTGGGGGGGTTGTAGTTTTCCGGTGGGTACAGTATTCCGCAGACCCGTTGCCCGTTGATATCAACAAATTTTAAGGTAAAAATTTAATTTTTATCAGGAGATGAACACAACCGTCAGAGTTCCCGAGACCAAAAATACTTTGAAAAACATGAGACCATCAGGGGCCCATTTCATAATAAAGTACAAACTAATATTATTAGTAAATCAGCTGATCGCCCAAAGCAAATCTAATGGAAATTACAAGTTACAAGTTGTAACTTGTAACTTGTAGTTTATTATGAAATGGGCCCCAGATGATGCAAACGGACACTAAGCGATTGAAGAAACATCTAACATCCAAATTGCTTTATACATACGATACATCAATAAGACTTTCGAAGTTTAACCTCCACCCTCTTATCGCCATATTTTTGAACTAGCTTGCTTACGCCAATCTTACAGCCTGTAAATACTGCCCAACCAAATACATTTTCCAGCTTTAGGGTACTTAATTTGATTTTGTCTACAAAAGGTTTGCTATTTATTGAGACTTGTTTACCTAACCTCCTCTAATTCAGCAGATGCATTTTCATAATTTATTAAATGTTAAAAGAGTTCTGTGAGGTGTAAAATCGTTTATATTTTTACATAAACGTCATCAACGTCACCCCGCCCTCTCTATCTCTTTGGACAATAGGTCGTCATACAAACTGCTTATTGTTGACTTTTTTGGAGCCCGCGAGAAATAGGATTAATAGTCCATGTATAATGTGATGACACTAATAATGTTGTAAACGACTTCACTTCAACATCCTATATGTTGACAAAGATAACTATATAGATTAAACCACGAATATTAGAACAGAAAATATTTCTGTTCTAATATTAGTTGATTATACAGAATGACACATTTCTGAGTATCTGTAGATTTGAAATGATTCAAACAAATATTATTATAATTTTATGCCAACAAACTCCTTGGGCAGATATATATATATATATATATATTTTTTCGTAACAACGTTTACGAATTATTATTGAATACATATTTTTTAAACTAATTTTTTAAATAGTACTTTTAGATAGAGAATTGAATTGCCGTTATCCATGATCATTTTGATACATTTCGACAAGAGATTGTGTTTAATTAACACGTTGCCTATGTACCGTCATACTCTATTTCTCTGTATGAAAAGACCTTTATTGTGTCACCTGATCGGTAGTGAATGAATGTGTAAAAACATAAAAATGTTATCATTGTTATGAAGCCCTAAATCTATACTATTATAAAAATTAAAGTGGTGTCTGTCTGTCTGGGCAGCTGTTACGACTAAAATACTAAACCAATACAGCTAAAATTAAGCACAAAGATGGTCTACATATCTAGGAGTGTCATAGGCCTATTCACTTCCCTATATAAGTTCCTCTCGGGCTACGCCCCTTGGATGTCCAAAGTTTTGAGGTGAGGTTTTCAAAAGTAAATATTAATTGGTCTCCATGGAACCATGAGAAAATTCACTATGTTTACCTTTGACATTTCAATGTAAACAATCAGAACCGCTAAATGCTTATTTCACAATTTCAGACATTAGTACCCATCTTCCTACCCGTTGCAAAGCACGTGTACAGCAGCTAATTATAGATAAACCTTCAGTAATATAATATACGACTCTCACAATGCTTTGCTTAGTTCAACACATAATATAAAAAGGTGTTTTGTTTACGAAACTCGCAGTACCCTTCTCTAAAACACTTTTTTCATTTTGAGAGAGAGAGAGAGTGAGAATATATGATTCTCAATGAAGTCATAATGCCATAATGTGTGTTCATAGAGTATGTAAAAAATTATACTAATAATTTTCAAATATTATACTATTAACATTCGTATACTGTATACTTAATACACTCTTTTGCACATTTCTTGGGCTAACTGAAGACAATTTTAAGAAATGTTTTGGCCCGTTACGTTGGCGGTAACGCTTAGGTTTGTTTATATGTTCTCTCTTTGTTTTCTTCCCCTGACCAAGAACTGAAGAGCTCTCCAGTGGTATTGCCAGGTTCAGAAGCTGGGATGAAAGTGATAATGATAACAGCTGTTGACGCCTGCGCGCCTGCATGCGCGCGTGATTTTACTCAGTCCTGCACGCAGTTTCGCGCAGACAACACATTCGGATATCCGCTCATAGGTGCGTATGTTTTATTTACATCCATTTTATCCTGTTATTAGAACTTATTATCACATACAACACGTATTTCAGAATCGCCTGTTTACTCTACAGGATAGCTGACTCGAAATTGTTCGATATATAAGGATTTTATCTCAAAACAGCTTAACGCTCTAGGAGGAATCTTCAGATGTATTGATTCCCTGCGCGCGGAATGGAGCAGGCTGTTTTTAACTTTCTTTGTTGTAGTTTATCGTATTTAATTTAGAGTGTGTAGTGTTGTTCTTAATGGTCATGTAATCAATCATTTCCCCCAATAATAAATTTTACTTTTTGGGTTAATAAGAACGATGAATATTATTGGACGAATAAAGGCTGTTGTTTCCAAAACAAACAAGACTTACAAGCTTATTTTGACATTAGAAAACCGTAAACAGTTTTCCTTCAAACCACATTAAATTAACAGTTTTAAATTATAATAAACATATTTCTTGATTTTAAAACTAAAACTGTATCCCTTTAACTTGATAATGTCAGCTAAAACAATTGATCAGGAATTTTCACCAACAGGTGTGTTGCTTTTGGATTAACTTAAATTTTTAATGAGTAAACAAAAAATAATCGTTGTACAGTTTTCTATCTCAAATAGGAAGGAAATCAGTTTAATTTTTTACCAGTTTTAAGATAGGTATATCACAAAGTAAATGAGAGAATAAGTTTTTTTCAATTTTCGAAGGTAAAAACTTTGGTAAGCACCGGTGCTGTATTTAGTAGTTTTAGTGACGTTTAAACGTTAAACACAGCCTCGAAACTAGATCATGTAAAATAAACTAACCTTGCTAACATGTTTAAGTGGCACAGATTATTTCATGTAGGCGAGACCTCAAGTGCTGTGTAACATGTTTGCTGGTTAAAAACATCACGTCTAAGTGATAGTCTAGGGGATTTCTCCAGAAAATATCATTTTAACAAGTTCCTTAACAAGTAAGTCTACTTAGTCCTTAGCAAGTCCACTTGCGTTTTCAATTGAAGTTTATAACTTGAAACATAAGTGTCGCTCGTGAATTACAATTTACCATATCTAGTTTTGGAGTTTAAAATTGATCCTAAAATTCAATGTTAAAAACAAATCGATTACACTGAATAAAATATTTTGAAAATTGGTTGAGTGAATGTGCATGTGGTGTCAAAACTACTCTGACCAAATCCAAAATAACCAACTGAAACTGATATTTAAAATCAAACTAAACCATTTCTTAAAATATGCTTCACCAGAAAAATTCGTTTATGAATAGAGCATATAAAATGAAACATAAAATCAAACACAATGCAGGAACTAAAACACTTCTCTGTGTAATTTAAGTTAAAACGTGTTTAGGAATTCTCAGTACCTATTTCAGTAGTTGATGATCCCTTACTTTATTGCGGTTCAGTAAAATGTAAAAAGTTTTCACAAATGGTTTTACTACTACATCTTTGCCACAAAAGATACAAAGTGAAATGGATGTCTACTGTGTACTGTTATGGGATGAAATATACTGTTTTGGAATATAGCCAGCCGGATAATGGCATGGATTTACTTTATAGTTTGGTTTAACCAATTCCGAGAAACGGTTCCTAAATTTGTATTGTTAGTTCATGTTTATTTTGAGACTATAGACCGATATAACTATAAAAATCACAAAATTAAAATTATTTGCAGAGAATGCTTAATTCAGAAAAAACACACTCTGCTTGGTATCGACTTTTGAGTGGACTGAAATGCCCTTTTCACAATAGTATGTATACTTTTGATCAAGTAGTTTAAGACGTATCTTTTTTTTAATGATGTATTCAATTTGTCATTCACAAACATTAATAGAAAACAGTTAGTGAATGTTAGGAAGTAAAATATAACTTAATCACTAATATGTCAACAAAACGTGTCGAATATGACTTTTATTTTTAAATGGCAACCCCCGACACTTCCCCCTCCCCTGATATCGAGGTTAATCCTCAGTAAAGGTCACGAGATACAAGCTGTAGACACAGCTATTTCCTTAAAAAATTATTTAAAAATCGGATTTCGTGTTTAGGTTACGTTTATGTTATAACTAACAACCTCACACAAAACGTATTAATCTTTGAGAAAAGCCTAAAAGTATTAAATAATGGTTTTCCCAGAATGTCTTTTTTTACTAAAACACGACACTTTGTTAAAAGTTACTGAACACAATTATTAATTACCTTACATTTAGTAGAAGTAATTAATTAGTGACTAATTACTAATGGAATAAAACGGTTCCGTTAAACAAAAGGTTCTCGCCATTTAGACCCACACTATTCTGTTTCCCGGGTATGTTGTCTAACAACTTAAGGTGGATCCCAAACCCCCAAGTTGTGACGTAAACACAAATATCAAATCTTTGGAGTTTGGCGAGATAAGAACCTGCGTCTTTATTACAAAAGGATCACGTTATAACCACTAAACTAGCCTCTTTGACATTATCTTCATTGGTAAAGTTAGGTGAACAAAATATCTCATTAAAAACTCACTATTTCAGTCGTGGAGGATACCAAAAGCACTTTATCGGCACTAGAGTAAAAAAATAATATCACACATCCTGTTTTAGTCAACATTTTAAATTCTTATCACAAAATAATTTTAAGTTCTGAATGACAAGTAATTCATATTTAATTTATCCTTCCAACCTGGAGTCACACAAGGCTGCACACCAGGACCGCCTTTGTTCCTTGATTAATGTAGGGGTGGTTTTGCTAAGGTGGTTTGCATGACAATCTGATAATCAGTCGAGCGGGGTCAACACTGCCCTACAGCTTACACTTTTACTGGTATTGCCACTTTGGTTTAATGCGTTTCTTTGTCCCTTGAACGAACAAGCTTTTTCATCAACAAACTCTATGGTAAAACGGTTATCAAATGATTCTTCGCATTCATATACGGAAGACACACAAAAGGGGAAAGGTATAAACTATTACGGTTGTGGATGTAATCATCGTATTGATAGTCAATGCTAAATAAACGTGGACGAGATAATAGAATTTACTAAATGGTATAATGTCGTCCACGTTTTCGTATTTCCGTAGGTATTTGTTTAGGAGAACTGGTTTATTCGAGCCGATTGCCAACAAAATCCAAATAAATGTAAAAAACATTATCTTTGGTGCACAATTTTTTCAATTTCCGTACTCTCGACATGTATTTATGATAGTGTACATTTATGCCCTCTTATACCATCGACCCTTTTATATTTTATAAACTCTTTTCCACCTTGATACAACCTCGACATACAATCCCCGAAAATTTAAGTCAACACCAGAAGTCTGAAAAGTAAAAACATCACACTTAAGACTGCAGATTAAACGTGTCAAACTGAAACTACATCATTTACCTATTAGTCAAGTTTATGTATCAGATGTGGGCAACAGGGTAATTGCTGGAGGGTGTTTTCGTAAACGCATGGATTACTTACCTGAGGGTACAGCTAAAATGGTGCTCACAATGAATCAGAGGACGCCGGTTCGATCCTGCCATCCTGCGAAAAAGCTATTTGATGGTACGAAAATGGGCATAGCTGTCCTTAATTTTGTATTTTTAATCAATGGTCTTAGCTTTTGCGAAGAAACAGCCGGTCTCATCGGTCGACATTAGCGCACTCAAGCGTCACCGGACATATAGCACGAGTCAGCCATAAAATTTACAAAACTATGAAAATCTACTTGCAAAATTCAAAGTCAATGGCATAACTGTAACTTATTAACAGTACATGTTCATCCGTTTATCGTTTAGTTCCAAGAATTACAGTACGATTCAAGTAGTGACCGGATACAGAGCTGTTTAATGTTGTAAGTACCTATTACGTGAGGAAACGCCTAGGTTCTACTTATGTGGCACTGTCCACGCCTTTGCACCGGAACAGGATGTGCAAGAGAAGAAGACAAGGTGTTGGCTGGTTGGTCAAGAGGAAATAGAAATCTCGACACACCCTTAAACGTGCAAAATTGTTCTCTTTTGCTAAAACTATTGTATCGATGTTCGATATGTTGTCGTACGACTTTTAGTAGAGCGAGTGTAAAGGAGACAGTTTTACCGAGTGTTTGATCTTTTTTGTTTCCCAGATATCCGATCCTACATAGAGGTTAAGGTGGGTTTCGAACCAACGGGGCATAGACCCTATTACCATAGATAGACTAGATTACGTACAGTAGGGATTGGTATACGGCGGCTTTGAAGCTCAGTTCTTTAGGACATTTTTTCCTGACTAAGTAAGATCAGCTGACTCTTTATCTACCCAGAACATCGATCTCTAGAAATCGATGACCCAGAATTATTTGATCGAAAGCCCAAAAACCTAGAACAGCTGGGTCCAGTTTCCCATTTCAAACCATTAAAGACATTTTTGACTTGACTCAGAACCGAACCGGCAACCTTCTGAATCTGAACCTACCCATGGTGCAAATTGCAACTCAAAATAGCTCAAACTTAAAGCTGGGTTTTCCTAGGCGCGGAGTCGGCGAGCGGAGAGAGGAACGCGGAGAGCGGAATTGAAATTAACATGGCATTCCGCTCCGCTTCTAGGAAAACAGTAACATTAAATTGCTAAGACAAGTGGAGTCCGCTCTCCGCGTTCCTCTCTCCGCTCGCCGACTCCGCGCCTAGGAAAACCCGACTTATGGTGCACGCGCATCTTTTTCTGACGTCATACGTTCCCGTACGTTCCTCACGAGCCTCTGACACCTCTTGCAGTGGTTTTTGCATCAATATAACATCCAACATGATAACAGCACAACCCAACAGTTATAATTAGAATAAAGATGTGGGTCAAACTCACTTTATGAGTTGCGTGCCTCGGTTATCTTTTAATTATGCGGGATATCGTGAGAATGGTGCGGAGGTTTTACAACAGACAAGCTGAACTTGTATTTGATGCCTCAGATACATAAATCTTTTATCAATGTTAGAGTTTATTTAAGGTAAATTGTGAAAAAAACTACATGGGTTCTTTCGTTCAGGAAACAAGTAGATAGAATCGTTTTCAAATTTGTATGGGGAAACTGGTGGTGTCGACGGTTCAAAACGTAGTAATTGATAGTTAGTTTTTCTTACCTGTGCAAAGATTATTTTAGACTTACCGATATCATCCAAAAGATATATGTCTCAATGATTTAGGTACAATACCTAGAGCACTCAGCCCTAATACACCCTCTTTAGTTCTATTGTAAATTAGTTTTATGTGTAATTCAGGCTGGACATCGGAATAGATATCGGGTCATTATTAATTTTGGCTATCCAACAAAAGTTTGACTTTCGATCGTTAGCCTACAACTAACACGCAGGCTTGGACAGTGTCCAAAAACGTTAAATAAAAATGTAATCCTTTTTGGAACCCATGAAATAAAACGCAGAACTGTCTATAATTTCTATTCCTCATCATAATCCCAAATCAGTTTACGGACAAAGGTGCTTACACAAGCCATGCGACCATGCTGAATAGTTTTATGTAGTTGCAAATATATCCACCACTCCCCTAAAGCCCAGTAAATCTGCCTACTACCACTGCACAAGAAATGCTCGCACCACAGACACGAGGCGTTCTTTATTCGTTTTACACACATTATCATATGTATGCAGTTCGTTAACATACGGCCACCGGAAGTGTACAGAGTACAGGTGTTGCAACCTCCAACTTCCGGGAGTGAGCTGTGTACCAACTCTTAATTTGAGGTCTCAGCTATCGATGGTCTCAGTCAACTAATTACTACGTCAATGTTGGCAACACTTGATCTCGTGTATTTAGAAAAGTGTCTGGCACTCTTCAGTTTGTGACATGTAACTGCTTTGCAAGATTGGAAAATGTAGATTTGAGTTGGGTGAAAAGACTGGTGGGTTAGTGTAGGTATTTACTATTCATTAGAATGGATACAGGTTATAGCATTATTATGAACATTGTTTATAACTGATTAGTAAAAACACAAGTTTCACGACAGTTTGATTTGGAATCCCGGATTCTGGTTGGTTTTGGAAACTAGAACTTGAAAAATTAAAATACTAAATGGGCAACACAACAAATGAATACATGAAAATAGTGTTGACATTTTTATAATATTGGGCGAAAAAATGTTTTCATTGAAAGTTTATTAATTTTGTTATAAAATTTGGATACTTTATCTTTCTCTAAGTTTTTCTACCAACTGTGTACATAACAAGTTGTAGGGTTCTGTTTGATGAAGTTATTGAAAGAGCTCAATAATAAAAATAGTATACAACAAGTAAGGACTATGGTTTACTTGTTATTTAATATTTTATATTCATGCAATTGGTGTTTTATAACAATGGTATCTAGACATATCGTTACCGTTTGTCAAGAGCTTACCCTTAATTCCTAATCCTATTAGCTGACTTGCCTTCATCATGGCTTCATCTGCATACTTGTGTGCGAAGCTCACTGATACTGATTTGGCAGGATTTTATAACATTTAATAATCGTTTGATAACCTGTTATCGTTGAAATTGGAAACTAAATTAGACTTTTCATCTACATTTGGCACCTAGAGTGGCTTGGCGGACAGCTGAATATATTGTAACAGACAATTTCCTTTTACTGTGAGAAATTACAGTTTTGTTTGCGCCAAACGACGTTTTGGACTCAGGTAATGCATATTGTCAATTTTGGACGGTTAAACACCCGTTTATGTTGCTGGGTTAGGGCGGTAAACTCTTATTTGCGAAACACAGATTATTGATGGATTAAGACCTTAATTAAATGCGTAGTAAATACATCAGTGAACAAAGATAAAATGTCAGAGAGGCAAAAATATCATATCTAAAGTAAAGCTTGTTTGTATTAAAACATCAAAAATCATGATACCTTTTACTGCAATTTATTAACATCCAATAATAAAACCATGATACCCTATACTCTTATTGGAGAACGTAATACTGTAACCAATTAGCATACATTTTCAGCCTTCAAACAGCTCTAAAACCTAAAACGAACAACGAGGATATTCGTTTTTATTCGTTATTTTGCTAAATTTGCTCGGTTTGTATAAAAAGTATATGAACTGGTTAACACGAAGTAATTATGGTTTTAATGTTCCATTCGTAGTCGGACTTGGGACTTTTATCAAAGTCGGTCATCAACCAAATCGATTGCCTACACCCTGTTACACCCCCACCCTCTCACATGGGAAAAGATCATTCATATGAAGTAGTAAACAACAACAATCAATGTGTATATCACTGAATCAATGTTAAATTATTGTCAAATAGTTACTATTTTTATGCTAAACTATGTATTTATTATTTTCAATACACAAGTTGGATGTTGGATTGAATTAATAAATGAACATTAATTAATCTTACAAATGATTGTCCCTCTAACAATATACACATATCATAGGTGATATGCAAAATATTTATATTAAAGTAAAGTGATCATTAGACATTTACTAAACTAGCATACATTTTTGGTTTGCAAACAGTATGAAATTACATTGCATTGTAGGCATGTGGAAGATGTAAACATCACCCGGTATTCATAGTTAAATTTTTATAAAAATTCAAGAGAGACCAGCGCCATACTGGTTAGTAATTTATTCGTTTGCACTTTATGCCAAACACACCCAAGTTTTACGTATGTTGTTTTATGGCGATGACTGGCTGAGCTGAAGTGGATGACGAAGCACGAGTCTCAACCGTCTCAGCCGGAGGCAAACATTCTGATCGAGGATTTTGGGATTAGTTATAGGTCAATCTCGTGACTTTAAAACTTACATTCTGTTGTGCTTTAACGTTTTAGAACCACTAAAGCCATTCCTTGTATCCACAAAAAATGCATTTTGCAAAACTCTAATGTCTCGAATATTCGTCAATGCTTATCCAAACAATGCTCATATTAAGCACAGTTGAGTTGATATCGTGATTTCAAATTTTCATGATTTCTTTTTATAACGATGAGTATGGACATGAACGTATCACTTCCGAATCACTTCCCTACGAATTATACATCGTGTTATATATGTTGAGCTTATGCATTGTATACGAATGTAATTTTATCTAGAAAATATTTTAAAACACAAACATGAAGGCCAACAAGCAGTAATGCACCATGTGTATCGAGCACTCGTTTTCTGTGTAATCGCACTTAAACCAACATTCCATCTAAACACAGCTGCTACAGACTGCGCTTCTATTTCCATTAACCTTTACCATGGATTTAACATGTTTCTCTTATAGATTCATCTTTCTAAAGCATCAACTTCTAACAATTATGTAGAGTGTGTATTGGTGTTGACAATCAGTTAATTTCTTGGTTTTACAGATTTTAGTGAATTCCCCAAAAATATCCTCTGCTTTGATAGTTTAGGCCTACATGAAAATAACTATCACATGGCTTTGCCTCACATATGAAACTAGAGCGCGCACCGGAAAAAGCCACTTTCGGTAGGCATACTGGTAATGAATTGTACTATTAGAGTACACAGTTGTTAACCTAAACGTAGCCATAAATTTATTGTGAAAATACCTAATTTAAGATTGCTTATAAATTTGACT